CCCCAAAACCCCAAAACCCCAAAACCCCAAAACCCCTTTGAGAGAGCTTTTATTGAAGATAATGCATTATTTATCGTAGATTTTGGTGATACCCAAACAAACTGTCTCTTAAGCCCCATTTCCTCTGACTAAAGCCAGGTGTATCTGCTACATAATCAGACAAAAGGATTACCCAAGTGGATTAAATCATCAATCAAGTACTTCTCAGCCTTAACCTTGCAGAAGGGTTTTAGTTTCTATGGGTCATGCATAAGTTACTTTCTCCTCAGGCTCCCTTTTGGTAGAAAGCAGCAATCTTTTAGCACTCTTGTGCTTTCGATCAGTAGCCAAAGTTGCTCTTCTTTTAGCAGTTTTAGGCCGTCTTTTGGACTTCTAAAGATCAGAAGGGAATTACATTTGGAGTTTTTGGATTTTTAGGAGAGATTGAGGGATTTTTTAGGCTGATTTTGTCCTTGCTATAGCTGCTCCTGATCTTTATACTGTGCCTCTATAATAGGTAATGATTATTATACATTTTTCTTGGTTGGCATTTTTGTCTTTATGGCCTTTTCCGAAACTTGGTTCTTAATTCTCGAATTTTTGCTGGTACTTAATCTTTTTATGTTTAAAACTATATCATTATTGATGAATAATTTACTCTTTGAAAATGTTGCTTTATTTTTCGAACTTTTTCTTGTTGAATATCCATGGCTATTGTTCAAAATGTTCATATGTCTCGGTGTTGACACATATGATTCTTCTACTTCTCCAGATAATTTATTCTTTTCTTTTCCGACTTTTACAACTTTCTTAGTTGAAAAAATATATTTTCTTTTCTTTTTTCTCCTTAGATTTTCTGTCTCACCATCTAATATGTTAAATTAGACTTACCATAAACTGATGAGAGGAGCCTCATTCTTTCATTATGCACTAAAAAGTAACCCAAATCCCTACTCTTAAACCCATAAAACTCATCATGCAAATTTTCATGCATTTTGACACTATCAACTACACCTTTAACTCTTCATCCTACTCAAATCTCTTACGAGTCATCTGTTGGAGTTCTTACTAATAATGCCTACACGTGATCCCTCCTTTTGCTTACAATTTGTCAGCACTTGCCATAGCTTTCCCGTTCTGTTTTCTTCCCTAGGGTCATTATCAAAGTTGAGCTCTGGATACCCAAAAAGGGGAATCTTGCTTCCTAAAATGCTGCTTAGACTTGTGGAAGCGCAGAATTAATGTAATTAAGGGGGATGATGGCTTCTTGGAGGGGGAGTTACCTTTGTTGATGATGAAGTCCTCAAGGTTGTCTTTGCAGCTAGAGTAGGGATGGTTTATTGTGGAAGTAGGGATTACTTGAATGTTTTTATCTATGGGGGATTATTAGAGGAAATACTTTGGAGGCATAGTGTTCGGGGGAGAATGTGTCGAAGGAGGTTTTGAAAGACTTATAGAATTTGGTTGAGTCCTCTTTTTGCAACGAGAGGTTAAAGTTCACATGAGGCTCTTTAGAATCCATCTTAAAATAAAAATAGTCAACATTTTATTTTGCTCTGGGGTTTTGGGGTTTTGGGGTTTTGGGGTTTTGGGG